GTATGTATGTATGTATATATGTATGTATGTATGTATATATGTATGTAGGATTTTTTTGTATTATATAATTATGTAGCAAATACATCACCTACTTTTCGTATACTAATTCCTCCACCCTGAGGTTGTCTGGAAGAGATCACGTTTATCGATAAAGCCGTCTACTGTGAATTTTTATTTTAATGTATATTTTTCTTTTTTTATCTATTTTTTTGTTTAATTTGCAACTACAGAAGCGGATAATTAATAACACATCAATAAATCTGATCTTTCTGCAATCCTTCTCCATTCAAACTTTAACTATGCCAAAGCTCACATACCTCGGTATACGCAATACTTAAGAATGGGTACAATGTTTCCTTCACATATTAATATATAGAAGACTAGCAGAACCCACGGCTTCACTCGCGCTAAAACTACAAAATCTCTAAAAAGATATTTCATACCAACTTTCATGTACTATTTTATCCTCTTATGGGATGAATTTCGAAAATGCTAAAACATGTATTTATTTAATTGTATTGAAGTACATTAATATCAATTTTCAAGTAATTCTGATTATAAATAATATTCTGGGTTGTATTATAACGTGTTTTCCCGAATCCCGTGGGAATGAGATAATCTTCCACGGTAAAAAGTAGCCTATGTCACTCTCCAGCCTTCCTACTATACTCACACAAAAAATCACGCCATACGTCATTTCTTTTCCACGTGAAAAAGGACAAACAAACACACTTTCACATTTATAATATTAGTATGAACATATAATATTAGTATGAACATATAATATTAGTATATATATTTAACTGTTTCTATGTAATTGAAAACAAAACTTAATTATCTATATGGTATATATTCATCAATTTGCTTGGACTCTTTGGCACGCATTGAATCAAACGTAATATCCGTACACTGTTGAAAAAACTTCGCGGCCGCCATCAGCCTTTTCAGGTCATTGCGTTTGTATGAAATGGCGGACTCTTTTATTCCGAGCGAGTTTTACTTAACATAGTTTTATGAAAACATTGTGAGATATAATATTTTGATAATTATACGCTTACGATAATATTTTTGGATGTTAAATGGATGTAACGTTTAAAAAATTATATGAAAAATAGGTGGTTAATTCTGTATGTCTAAATTGTAGAAAAGAAAACAAGACCTGAAAATAATAGATTTTTAATAAATAACAATCCAGAAGATTATTTTGTATATTAATAATATTAACTATCGTCATACCAAATTTCATCTAAATCGGTTCAGCCGTTTAATCGTAAAAAGTTAACAAACAAACCAACAGAGTTACTTTAGCATTTGAGACTTTTGGATTTAAACATACATATAGTATGTAGTAGTATATTATAATATATTATATCTATAATTTATTATTATATTAAATAGATATAAATATATTATAAAACTTATTTTTGTAATTATTAGTACAATCAACATTTAAATCTGGTAAAATAAATTACCTAAAAAAATAGGACCTAATAACTAAATCTTAAGAAATAATCCGCATAAAATTTTAATTACTTTAGTGAATTACTGAAACAAAAGCTGTTTAGATAGAAAATATCTCAGACCTGAAAAAGCGATGGAAGAAAAACATTTTTTCACAAAAGCAAAACTACTGGTACTTTTTACATAACATCGTTCTATTTAATGAGTTAAATAAATTTCTTTTAAATAAATACTTTACACTACTCTAACTCTGTAGAATCTATTTTGGTAAAACTTTCTCGTTCTTACACATCTATATAAAAGTCACGTATATCTTCTATCTCTACAATATAAAAATGAATCTCTGAATGTGTTGGTAAGCGCAAATCTCGAGAGCAGCAGAACCGATTTCGCTAATTCTTTTTTTAGAATATTCCTTGAAGTACGAGGATAGTTCTTACGGAGAGAAAAATTTAAAAAATTGCCTGATAAAGTCTAAAAACAAAACTTTTCTATACTCCCATACAAAAGATTCGTAATAATACTTAAAAGTCAATTTGAACTTTAATAGCATACCATAAAGTTTAAGTGTTAGTGGAGAGGTTCCGGGAAGGCAAAACAATTGAATGACGTTAGTATCGTATAAATATTAATGTCAATATATTTTGTCAATATTATTAACAAAAAAAATTATATGGCTAACGCTGGCTCATAACCATTTATATCTATTTAAAACGTACCTAGCGACGAACCCGAGCGAAGCAAGGGTGAGCCGCTAGTTATAAATATATAATAATCTAATTTGAAATTAATGAAGGTACAACAACAAACAAGGCCTCAATCAAATTGGACACGTTCTAAAACTCATAATATATTCAATGAGACTTCTGTAATGCATAAGGAGTTAGATTATATATTATATATAATACTAGCAGAACCCGTGGCTTTGCTCGCAGTAAAATTATAAAAAAAAACTTTAAAAACCTATGGGATGAATTTCGAGAAATTCTAAAATATATATTTATTTTGATTTTATTGAAGAGCATTAACAACAAGTTTCAAGTAATTCTAATCATAAATAATTTTTGGGTTTTAAATAAAACTATCTTTTCGGATTTTGTCGCGGATTTATTTGGATTTTTGTTTCCCGACGTTTCGAATGCTTTACAGCATCCATGGTCACGGGAGAGACTGAGGTGTTACATGTTTTGAATGTATAGTTGTTACAGACAGCCTACCCACAATTAACAAAATGAAAATTGCACCAATTACATTACAATATTTTTTAACTTTAAACATTTTTATAATTTTAATTATAATTGAATATGGAAAATTATTTATTTAATTTTGCTATTATTTTTATGAAAAAAATTTTCATTTGTAAAAGTATATATTAATAGTGTTGCTTAGTAAGTTGTTTTTTTAAATAATAGCAAACTAAATTAAAATTATTATCCTTAATTAATTTTAACTTTTTAAATTACACATAGAACAATTATATGGCTTTAATAATTAATACTACATTTTATATTTTTCTTTATGGTTATAAATATAATAATGGCAACACTAAATATAGATTACTAATTAATATTTTAAAATTGTAATAATTATAAAAATAATAGCAAAATTAAATAAATAATTTTCCATATTCAATTATAATTAAAATTATAAAAATGTTTAAAGTTAAAAAATATTGTAATGTAATTGGTGCAATTTTCATTTTGTTAATTGTGGGTAGGCTGTCTGTAACAACTATACATTCAAAACATGTAACACCTCAGTCTCTCCCGTGACCATGGATGCTGTAAAGCATTCGAAACGTCGGGAAACAAAAATCCAAATAAATCCGCGACAAAATCCGAAAAGATAGTTTTATTTAAAATGTCAAATATTCGCGTAAATCTAAGAAAGTATTAATTTTTGGGTTGTATTATACGAATTTTCCCGTGAGAATGAAGTAATTTCCCTTGGTAAGAAGTAGCCTGTGTCACTCTCCAGCCCTCCAACTATCTTCACACAAAAAATCACGCCAATCCGTCACTCCATTTCGACGTGAAAGAGAGACAAACAAACACACTTTCACATTTATAATTTTAATAGTATAGAAGTACTACTCCACGTACTCTGCCTCGCTTCGCTTCTTCCCTATACAAAAATAAATCTATTCCACAGGAACCGTACATTTTTCTGGGATAAAAAGTAAACTTTGTGCTATTTCAGACTATAATCTATCTCTGCGTCAAATTTCATCCAGATACGTTCAGCCGTTCTGGTGTGAAAGAGTAACAAATATCCATTTATAAATAAATAATAAATATGTTGGGATATTATCACACAGCACTATCTAGTTCCATGGTAAGCTACGAGGCCTGTGTTATGGATACCGGATAGTTGACTACACATATATAACTTTAAATACATACGTATTATAAATATTAACACCCATGACTGGAGTACAAACATTCGTGCTCATCACACAAATGAATGCCCCTAGCGGCACTCGAACCCGCGACCGCTGGCCTAGCAAGTAGGTTCACTACAAACTGAGCCAAACGTGTCGTCAATCTATCTATCATCTAAACTTTCACATTTATAATATTATAGCATGGATAACAAATGAAATAGATTTTACTTAATACGGCTAAGATAATTGTATTATTAAGTAGAAAAGATATTTATATTTTATAACTTAATATTTTAAGTCAGCCATTCAGACTACTGTTATAAATTTGAAAGTTTATATATGTATATTTGTGCGGCCGCACGCGCGTCCGTGTGTGTGTGTTTGCATGAAAATATCAGAGGTTTGAACGAGACCCGGGATTTAAACCCGCTTCACTTGGTCTGTCAATTGCGTTACCACTGTGCTACCACTATCTTAATAGTTAATTATTGGAATAATACGAATCCTTTATACTAGCGCAAAACGTGATTGAAATATTAATGTGATCAAATAACTAATATCTAAACAATTTCATATACGTTCAGATTCAAATATTCAATATTTATATCGTTATCCAAACAATAGGGACTCTTTATTACGTAGATAAATACTTTTATATTATGTTATTTTAATAAAATATATAATTTAATGGATATCAAAGAAAATATATTTCGTCTTCATATTAAAAGTGTATATAAAAACATCTTTTACTGTAAAATATAAACAAACTACCATTTTCTTTCGACTTCGCTCACGTAGTTCAATTATACATTGCTATTACTACATATCATAAAGTGAATTCCCCCCTCCCTCCACCCTCCTCCCACTCCCCGATTTGTTTGTCTGTCTGAACACAATAAGCTCAAAAACTACAAAACGGCTCTTCATACGGTTTTCACCAATAGACGAAGCATAGTAAAGAAGTAAAATACATTAAGGTTTTGTATAAATTGTCTAAAATAAGACAATGATTCAGTGTTAAGTTGCGAGCGGTGTAAACACGACGCATTCATATCGCTTGGAGTAATTAACTATTCTTTAATTCTGAGAAACGATTAGTGCGAGTGCGTCTTATCGCTGTCCGTATTTTAGCTAGCAAAAATGATCTTTATTGATCATGGCGGAGGACTTAATTCTAAATGAAGATGTTAACACAGTGAATTCTTATTGCAATATTGGAATAAACACATTTGAGGAACAAACAAATTTATATGAGGAGACGATGGATGATTTGGGAAGAAAACGAATAAGAGATGAGGAAAATGGTGGTGAATGGCAACAAGTTGTAAGTCACACGAAGAAAAAAACAAAAATAATGGATAGTTCAGAGAGTGATTTTATACAAGTTTGCATTACAGGCAAGAATATGTTACCGAAGGCGTTTACTTTAGCAAAATTATTCCGCGAACAAAAAATTTTGGATGTTATAAAAGTAAAATACATTAATCCATATAAAATTAACGTAAGTTTCAGTAATGAATCTAGTGCGGAAAAGTTAATAGCATGTGAGGAATTTATAAAATTGGAATGGAGATTTCAAAAAAGCTGGGAAGTTGGATTATCATTTGGTATAATTAGAAATATTGATACAGAGTTGTCTGAAGAAGAAATAATAAAAAATATTTCTTGTGACTTTGAAATAGTTGTAGTTAAAAGACTAAACCGTCGATTCGAAAAAGAATGGATTCCTAGTGATACTGTTAAGATTGGATTTAAGGGTTCTAATCTTCCTGGATATATTTACATACTAGATCTTAGAGTGAAAGTAGAACAGTATGTTTTCCCCGTTACACAATGCTCTAAATGTTGGAGGTTTGGCCATGTACAAAAGATGTGTCCATCAAATAAACCTGTTTGTCCAAAATGTACTCAGAACCACCCTAATTGTGATACATTAGTATATAAATGTGTGAACTGTTCCGGATATCACATGGCATTGGAAAAAATTTGTAGCGTATATAAAAAAGAAAAAAGAATACGAGAAATTATGTCAGAATTTAATTGCCCGTACAAAAAAGCGATTAGTATGTATGTACACCCATCCCCAGATACACAGATAGTAAATTCAACTCCCTCTGCAAAGGATTACGTATACATGCCCCAATGTACGATAGATGCGTCCCCATCATATTCAGAAGTTCTAAGAATGCCACAAGAAAATCATAAAGCAGACTCTCCATCTCAGAATGTTAAAAAACCTAGTGCTAAGAAAAAGAAGAAACGGGTACAAATTTCCGAAAATGTCTACGCAGATTTTTCTACAGATTCTGATATAGACTTAGAGAATGAAAATAAAACTCCCTTTACAACAAGTGAAGAAGAAAATAAGCAACGGGAAGAATATCAAAAAGTCATACAAGATCTACTTAATAAATTAAAAAATATAATTTTTAATAATAATTTAAAAATAACATCTAAGTTGAAACAGATAGCTAAAACAATAATTGAATGTCTAACTTTAGTAGTTATAAATTTTTGTTCTGGCTTACCTATGGTTAAACAATTTTTTAAATATTTTAGTGATGGATAGAAAAATTAGTAAAATTATTAAATTAAATATCTTGCAATGGAATTGTAGAAGCTTAAAGCCTAAATTAAAATCATTCGAACAGGTCTTGTTACAGGAAAAAGTTCACATAGCAATCTTATGTGAGACATGGTTTGAACCAGATGCCTTTATTAAAATTAAGGATTATAATATTTTTAGACTCGATAGGGATGACGGTTATGGTGGTGTAGCAATTTTAACACACAAATCAATAATTGCTCACAGACAAGCCGTTCAAGGAATATCTAGAGGAATCGAAGCAGTTTGTGTTAAGATTTTAAATTGTCCTCAAATTAATAATATATACTCAATATACTGCCCTAATGGTATTAACACGGTACAAAGAGACTGGGAATATCTTTTTTCTCTAGCTGAAAGTAAATCATTATTATTGGGAGATTTTAATAGTCACCACAGTTCTTGGTCTAATAAAACTGACAATAGAGGGAATCAAGTTTTCAATGCTTTAGTTCAATCGAATTTAATTCTGCTTAATAACGGTAGCTCTACACGTTTTCAACTAATGAATTCTAGTTTAAGGGAATCTACGCCAGATCTATCATTTGCATCCTCTGATATTTCGTTAAATTTTAATTGGGTAATTACTAATGAGTCACTTGGAAGTGACCACCTAATGATAAAAATTACTTCTGCATTACATTACGATGTTGATCTCGAAAAGAAAAGAAATTTCAAGTTAGCAGATTGGAAGGGATATTCGAGTTATTTAGAACTATTGTTAAGTGACTTTTCAGTAACAAATAATATTCAATACGATTACAATATTTTTATGTCTTATATAGATGAGGCTGCGAACAAATTCATCCCTTTCATTAAAGTATGCAATATTCCACATTCTAGATTTGTTCCTCGACCCTATTGGTCTGTTGAACTCTCTAGAGCTGTGGCTATCCGCCGAATTGCTCTTAGAAATTTTCGACGCAATCCCACACCTCGAAATTTAGAAATTCTTTATGAAAAAATTAAGCACGCCAAAAGACTTTTAAGGATAGCTCAGAATAGGTCGTGGCATCAATTCTGTACTTCGTTTGACAATAGCTGTTCTTCTCACGAGGTATGGTTTAAAATGAAGTGGTTTAAAGGTTACAAGACTACAAAGGCACATATTAACATTGAACTCATTAATGAGCTCCTAACAAAATTATGCCCCGATTTTGTTTGCCGTAATCGTCCTATATTTACTCCTGGAAATGAATTGTTGGAATCGATGATCACATTACACGAATTAGAAGCTTGTATAAAAAATAAAGATACTGCTCCAGGTAATGATTCAATTTCTTTTTCAATGATTAAACATTTACCCTATTCAGCTAAAATGATTTTACTTCATATATTTAATAATATTTTAACATTTGGTGTGATTCCTTCACAATGGCGTAATATTTCGATAATCCCTTTACCTAAACCTGGGCGTAACATTGAAGATATTTCATCAATAAGGCCAATATCATTAATATCTTGCATTTGTAAAATTTTTCATTCAGTTATAAATAAAAGAATAGAGTGGTTTTTAGAAAAATATAATTGTTTTCCTTCAGATATGGTAGGATTTAGGAAATCTCGTTCCTGCTTAGATAGTTTAAGTATTCTTGTATCTAGAATACAAATGGGATTTTGCAATAATGATGTAACTTTAGGATGCTTTCTTGATTTAGAAAATGCTTACAACAACATTGATACTTTTAATTTATTACAAAATTTGAATAGATTAGGTGTAGGCCCCCTAATTTGTAGTTATATTTGGAACTTTTTAACAGAAAGATATTTAGAAATTAAAATTAATAACTTGAGTGTTACTCGAAAAACTAGTCAAGGAATTGCCCAAGGAGATCCTTTATCCCCCCTTCTTTTTAATATTGCGACAATAGACATCTGTAAACTTTTTCATAATGTCAATGTTTCACAATTCGCTGATGATTTCCTGCTTTATACTACAAATAAAAATATAGAAGATGCCACAAATACAATGCAAATCGCTATCAATGTTTTCTCAAAAGCAATTGATCAGCTTGGGTTAAATATCTCTCCTTCAAAAAGTAAAATTTGCCTTTTTAAGAAAGGTAAAAATAGGAAGTCGATTAAAGTTTTTGTTAATGAAAAAGCATTAGAAGTTGTGGAACATGTAAAATATTTAGGATTATGGTTAGACAGATCTCTAAGGTGGGGTAAACATGTTAATGAAGTCTATGCAAAAACTTCAAAATTTTTAAATATTTTTAAAGTTTTAGCCGGATCTGGTTGGGGGATTCATCCCAAACACTTAAGACGAATTTATTTATCAATTATCCGCAGTCGCATGGATTACGCTAGTTTCCTTTTTGATGATTGCAGTGAAAGCCATTCAAAGAAATTGGATAAAATTCAAAATCAGGCTTTACGAGTAATAGGTGGGTTTATTAAGAGCACACCAACTCATGTAATGGAAGTCGAGTTGAGTATTCAGCCACTTCGTTGCCGTAGATATTACTTGGCTGGTAAATTTTGGCATAAATCATTTTCCATTCAAGATAATATATTAATTAAAATTCTTCAAGAGTGTAGTTCGTCTAATATTTTTGCTTTGTGGAAAAGAAATCGTATTCCATTGTTAACTGTAATTCATGATGCTTTTAAAGACACTATCATGCATCGTAGCAAAGAACTTGAATTGTTTTCACTAAACACTTGGGTTAGTAACATAAATTTATCGAATTTAATTAAATTACATATTGGTAATGAATTTAATCCTAAAAGGTTATATAATGTAAATGAAATGAAAAATAAATGTGAAAAATATATTGAAGACCAATTTAACGGTTTTTATAGAATTTTTACAGACGGATCAAAACAAAAAGACTTAAGGGGTGCAGCATTTTTAGACTTTCAAACTTTAGATTTTATTAAAATTATGATTGATGGACATATCTCAATTATGCATGTTGAACTATTGGCTATTTTGGAAGCATTATGCTACGTTCAGACAATAAATACCGATAAAATTGTAATTTTCTCTGATTCTAGGAGTTCACTTCAACATATAGCTCGATGTACATCTAATATTAGAAGCACACCAGTACCTTACGAGATTTTGAAATTGATACATAACTTTAGTAAAGAGGGTAAAAAAATAATTTTACAATGGGTTCCGTCTCATGTTCATATATTGGGAAATGAGATGGTAGATAGATTGGCTAAAGAAGCGACATATGAAGGAAACTTATTGGTAGTTGCGCCGTATTATACAGAATGTCTTTATTTGGTTAAAAAAAAGGTTTTTAATATCTGGAAAGAGTTTTTTGATAAAAGGTCAAAAGAAAAAGGCATCTGGTATAGGACTATTCAGGCTGAACCAATAATTCGTCCTTGGATTGACATGACCTGTTTGAGTAGACAAGATACTGTCCTTGCTATGCGCCTCCGCTCTGGACACATTCCATTAAATAAATTTTCATTTTTAATGGGTAAAATTGCTACACCAAATTGCTTGCAATGTGGAATTGTAGAAGATGTTTTCCATATATTAATGGAATGTGTGCGGAATGAGGCGCAACGTCAAAATTATTTTACAAATAATTCAATTTTTTTAACGACTGGAGGTATAAATATTGTATTATCAAATCCTTCTTCTAATGTAGCAAGATTAATTTATAAGTTAGCAAAAATTGTAACAAATGCAAGTAATACATAATAATTGTACGGGTGTACCTCAATACAATTTGTTGTTAAATATTTATAAAATGTAATTAAGATACCATTGTAAACGTAACAGAGCGTCATAGTCGCATATTAAGCGACAAAGCTCTTTAAATGGAGATAAAAAAAAAAAAAAAAGACAATGATTGTTGAAGAAGTCAGAAAAATAATACCAACTGGGAGCGTCACTGGCGCGCGCCGCGTAAGCCAATAAAAAATATATAAAAACATAATTACAGAATTATAATTGTGTCTTTATAAATTATAGCCTATGTGTCATTCTGGTGTATAACTTATATTATTGTAAAGTTTCATTAAAATCCGTTAAGTAGTTTTTGCATCAAAGATACATCCATAACAAACATACATCCATACATCCTCACAAAATTTCGTGTTTATAGTAGAATTGTTGGAATATTTAATGATTCTTATAACTATAAAGTCCAATATAATAAAGTATAGGCAAGTGAAGAAGCATTTTATACGTACTTAACCTGGTTATTAAAATTAATTATTTGCACTATAAGCACAAAGAAATTTTTTACTCGCTAAAATTACTAGCTCTGAAATTGTAATTTAACAGATGATTATAATTTTATCAGTCTTATTATACAAATCATATAATGAATAGAGTAATTCATATTACTCTTCAAAGATCAATCATCAAAGAGTTTACTTATAAATTGTATACATCAATATAGATAATTAACTAACGACTCACCTTCGTTCTACTCGGGTTCGTTCCTAGTCACGTCTTAACGTTTAGTATAGATCTCTCAGAGATGAGATTTCTTCCCGCAGTAAAAAGTATCCAATTTGTTGTCCCGGAAAATCTGTCCAGTGGTTTTCTCGCGATGCGTTCCCAGACAAACAGACAGACAGACAATAATTCCAAAAACTAAAGATTCACCCTCTGTATCGATAATAATGACTATTTCAATAAGATTTTCCAAAAAATATTTAATGTACAGATTCATCTCATATAGAATTTTATTATTTTATTATACGTATAGATAATTGTATCTTAAATGCTAAATAATATTGAATATGGAAGCCAACAGTGCGCAAAGTACAAATGCACACTCTACTCCATAACTCATAGTCCGATAGAATGATAATTCGACACTACCGTCGAAAGATTAGGCAGAATCAACAGCTCTACATGCTCCCGAAAGTCCGAGAGCGTAACACTACCAACATCGTAACTGTCCTAAAAAAATCTAAACAGAAAAACCAAACACACACACGACACGATCCAGGAATCGAATCTAGGACCTCTGGATTTGCAACTATACATATTAACGAGGCAGTCAACATAATCTGCACAACGCCGCCTACCGTTTTAAAAAAAACTTACTCTTTCACCTTAAGGTTGCCTGTAAGAGGTCGCTTCTAGCAATAAGGGCGCCTATTGTGCATCTTTTTTTTTGTGTTTTGTGTTTTAATGTTTCTTTTAGTGTTTAATAAAGTATATTATTATTACATTTAATACTAATTATAATATTATAAATGCGTATCTCTATTTATCTATTTCTAGTTATCTACTTGCTTTATATTATTTATTTTTTTCGTTTTAAGGTAATCCAGTTAATCAATTTAATTAGAATTAATATAATAATATATTGAAAATAATCCATATATTAGATAGCTAGAGATGGCATTATTTAACATAGACACTTTTAGCGGATATATTACATTTCCGTGTAAAAAGTATTGTTAAAAGCTTATGAGCAAAATCTAAAGTTATTCATACGAGAAATAATTAAATTATGAACATAAAAATCTCGACTGCATCAAATGCCAACTAAACAGATAGGAACAAGTTGACGAAAGCACATGTTTTTTAATTGCTGCAAGTTGATATTTGCTTACATATTTTTTTTATTTAAAGCTTTTTAGTTTTGACCAGTTAGATATTTGGGGATTTATTTAAAAATTAAATATTAATTATATTTTTGTGATCACTTTAGGTTTTGGTTTAGAATTTATTTTAAAGAAAATCCAATTGGCGTCATAAAGCTGCCATCTTAACTTTTAATAATATTCATATACTCTCTGACACTATTTATTCAGAATCAATTAAGGCGTTTAGTAATTACAAAGATACATAGGATCGGACATACATACATACATAAATATTATACAGGTTAAACAAATTCTCTCCTGTGGTTTTCGCCGCAGTCGGGTAAAAAAGCACTCAGAACGGGTCGCTTATTAACAACGTACATGTAATTAAGAAAAACAAAAACAAATCTATCCCACGGGAACC